AGTTCCTATCAGTCTCATCCGAGACACTGATGAGACGGCCTGCAGACAGGAGATTGAACATCTGCCATACAGTAGTTGCGCCACCTCAGGAAGTTCGACCTGCCCCAGGAGCTGCTGATACAGTTCTACAGAGGAATCATCCAATCTGCTCTCTGCACTTCTATTGCTGTCTGGGTTGGCTTGGTAACCAAAGAGGAAAGGAACAAACTCCAGTGGATAGTCAGGACTGCAGAAAGAATGATCTGTCCCAGCCTGCCCGCCATGGAGGACCTGTACACCTCATGGTTCAGAAAGAGGGCAGAGAAGATTTCTGCAGACCCCTCACACCCTGGATACAAAGAGTTTGAATTCCTCCCCTCTGGATGATACTACAGGTATGCCAAAACAACCAGACACAAGGACAGTTTCTTCCCCTGGGCCATCACTCTCATGAACACTTAACCCATGACTGTGTGACTGGACACAGCGACCACCCTGGTGTGATCAATCAAAATTTTCTGCATACAATGCAGTGATAAATATCAAACGACGTAAAAACAAATCAATGTTTTTTAGAAAGAATAGTTTATTTATGCTATGTGAAAGCTGGTAATGGTTCCTCCATCCGTACATCCATCAATTTTTAAATCATTCATGCTGTGCAGGGCGGTGAGAACCGAAGCCGATATTAGCAACACTGTCATCATAAGGTATCCAATCTATCACAGGCTACAGACAGACTGCAGAGCAAACAGGCAAAGGCAGGGTGGACATGAACAGATTTTCAAATGGAACCTCAGACTGCGATCTGCTGTATCTACTGAATCACAGAGCTGTGCAATAAATCAGCAGCAGTGGTAGCAGTAATTTTATAAACTTCAGTTCATAAAGCAGATAAAAATGATACAATCCATGCACATGGTTTTACGATGGTCTTTCTCCTGTAGAGTAACATTTAGAAGAAAAGAATACTCCAATAATGGCTGGAGCCAGTGGGCTTTGTAGGGCAGTTTAGCACCTGGCAATATAACTGTAAAATGAACTAAATGAGTGAAATGTTTCCTTAACCTTATCATTATCATTGACCAAAGGCTAGAAAGTTTAAAGTATATTCCAGAAGCACCCTGTCCTCCCGTGAAGGTGGCTGATAGTTCCAAAAATGACAAATTAAATTTGACAGACATCTGTTGCTTGTCTGCTGTAGCTAGTATCGATTATAAAACCATTTGCTCTTGTCTTTATATTTGCATTTTGTCAATTGTTCAGTGCCATTTCCAAAAATAGTTTCTATCAGCTGCTGACCGAGTAAATGTCAGTGAAATGCCAACTTTCAAAGATATTTTCAGAATCTTTGAGAGGCCAAACAAAAGGATTTTGATTAAGTTCTAGTGAACGAATTACATCAACATATCATGCAAAATTGAAATATATGCTAGTAAGTCTATTTTGTTATTGTCTATGTTGATTCATATATTATGATAAAAGAGTTGTCAAAAGGCACTTTCCATAAGATCATTACATTTCCACTATAATGAAATGATTTCTGTGCCATTTTTCGGTCATATTGAGTAAAATGGATTGTATATAAGGATGATATGCTTTTGCATATTTACTGTCACTCACACAGTTACTGAAATATTGTAAAGTGTTTATATTATAAAGGCTGCAAACAGCAGCTGCAATCATCTCAGTCTACAGAATGTGGGCTTATGTTTTGCTTAAACAGTGAAATGATAATGTTGTTTTCAAAGGCATAACATCACATATTCTGAAAGCCTCCTCAGCCCATGCATCACATATGCCGTGAGATATAAGCCTGTTTTGAAATGGCACTTCTAGAAGATAAAACCGATGGCATCAGCAGCTCCTGATCCCACTAACCACATGTCCCAGCTCAATTCAAGCTCAGTTTGGCTGAATGAATAAAAGCCATGTGGAATATGAAAATGTGAAGAGGATGACACATTTAGGCTGTAGCTGTTGCAGCAGAGTAGTTTCTGGAAAAGATCTAAACATGGCCCACAAGATGGAGCTGATGTCTCACAGTGGGTCACAGAACGAGCTGAATGGTGCATTTAGGCCGTTTAATCGAAACAGTGACCACCGCTGCAGTTTTGTTTAGGCATGGCTGTATGAACTGTTGAAATTTGTTCATGTGTTAACTGTTCAGCCTGAATCATATAGTGGTAATCCAAGAGTCCATCTTTTCTTTGATATAGTAATAATTTAAATTTACTGAATATACAGTAGTAATCAATATCTGACATAAAAAAACTACTAAAAATAATAGTTCTGAGTTTCTGTAGGTGTTGCTTTGTTCTTTCAGGAACTCTGGTTATAACGGATATTGATAATTGCTTTATTCATGATGACTTGGAAATGTTAAATGCATCATTACCTGTGTGTAGGAAGTTTATTCCCAGGAAGGAGCTTCCAGGCACTGACTGCTGAGAACAGCAAATATAAAAGCATTCGTTGGTTGATTCATTACTCTGCTTTAATAATTTCCAGCTGAAACAAAGAATGAATTAAATAGTAGTAGATGATGCATTTATTTAGGTGAACATGTCACCGAGAATTATTTTCAAAGAAGGAGCCTCTACCTGCCACATGGCATCAGCTTCCTTCATACAACATGGATTGGTAAATAATAAAATAACATGGCTGATGATGCAGATACACTGGCATTTATGTGACAAAGTCAGACACATACACACACACACATACATATACATCACAACTAGCAGCCATACAGTTAGGCAGACACACACTCTGAGCTTGTATGTTGTACTATCCCCCATCGTTTGTGCTTCAACCCATCTGCCAAAAATCCTCTCAAGCAAACTTTGACTTGACATTTTCCAACACTGAATCAGCAGAGAAAG